TACTCTCTCTCTCTCTCTCTCTCTCTCTCTCTCACACACACACACACACACACACACACACAGGCATACATGTTTTCTCCCATAAGAGGATAAATATGCACATATGCATCACTCAAATTGCCCTCACACTATGAGCACCAACATGCATGCACACACATCTGTATACACACATATATCTTGATTGGGTAAAACTAATACATAACACATAACACACAAGAAAAATATACGAGTGCGACATAGGTAAATGTTATTGTCACCCATGTTTTTTGCTGCTCTCACCAAAAAACATGGGTTGCAATAGTAACCACTATTTCTCTTTGCTATCATCCTACACGTCTGGTAGGAACAGCAAAACCATGGGTGCAAGCAGCATTTCCTTATCATATACAATTATAGCATATACAATATATATATCTAATTATATCACCATTATATTCATATCATAGCTTAGATATATCGTTCTTTTAGATACACTATAACTTAAGATGTTCCATACTCTCTCATACATAAATTTATTTTTTATTCATATTAAGTTTCTCTACATAAAAACATATCCCATCAATGTTGGTATCTGAATCATATACGGTGTTGGTAAATCTTGAAGATAAAATATAACATAATTAACGTAATTCCAAATGCGGCTTACTGTAAATTGACTGAGTGCCCTAAGATGAGCCTCAAATCTCTCCAGCATCTCGTGTGCAGTATCCAGAACACCTTTCCGTTGGATCAATGCTCTCTTGCTTGCAACAAAAACACCCTGAACGACTTCTCATGAGAGGGAAACCTCACAAAATGAAAGAATCCTAAGGAAATGGAAGGCCAATAGAGAAATACGAGCTTACAAAGAGCTTACCTGGCTTTCTAGCACAACCCCGCCCTCTACTTCTTTCAGGTTATTTTCTCTCAGTGTAGTACCACTACCCACAAGGTCCAAGATAGCATCTGCTATACCCATCTACAGAAATCAATGATGCAGAAGAATATACACCTTAGAGATAGAAGCATAGAGATGCAGTCAAGGCACAAAGATGCAAAGCAAAACATAGCCATGAGAAGATGTGAAGGAACTACAAGGTTTGTTTTTTTTTTTAATACGTTGACTATTGAAAGAACTACAAGTTGTGAGTGCATTAACACATAAGGAAAGAAACTATCACAAAAAAAAGATCAGAAGAGGAAGCACCTATCCATATACCCAAAAAAAAAACGAGAGACAAAAAGGAGAAAAAAGTCATAGGGAAAGCATACCATGTCCTTTGGGCATGCGCACCTAAAAAACAGAGGGCTCCACATTCATGCATTTATGGCTAATCTCCACTATCCATTATCAAAATGGATGGTGGATGCACAAATTAAAGTATTATATACCATACTCCATTGGATGATAATACCAAATTTGGTAAGCCTATGAAAAAGCAAGATTTAGAAAATTTAAAAGACTTGAAACGAATAACAAAGTACAACTACATTAAATAGAAACATGTTCTTATTAGTAAAAGTAGAAAACATGCTTTTGATTAGCCATAAGCAATAATAAACCCAATTTCATAGCTGATTTCGACTTTATGATCATTAATACCAATACTAATACTAACAATAGAAAGAAAGATATGGGTAGCAGACATCATACATGGAGAAACAAGTTTCCCATGAACATTCATGTAGAATTTGTCTACACGTGCCCAAAAGTGAATTTTTAATAACCTCTGCCACAGGAAACATTAGGTGGATAACCTAAGACTGATGTGTATTCCTCCCATGCATACTGTCGAATTTAAAAAGATGCACAAAGCTGTTAGAAACTGCCCAAGAGGTTTTGTGGAAGTTCACATAACCCCATACCCACTGTAGTAAGGGAAAAGGATATTTTTTCTCAGAAACTGATAAATCTTCACACCCTCCATACCCTCAATTAGACCATAAGTCACAATATCTCTTCTCACTACGTCCATTCATGTCCTTTTGGGCCTTCCCCTTGCCCTTTTAGAGCCTTCCACTTGAACCAAATTCTCCTCCTAACTGGTGTTGTTCTAGGTCAATGCTGCACGTGCCCAGACCACCTAAATCTATTTTCCCTCATCTTATTGTCTAGTCCACCACCCCTAAGTTCCCTATTCATTCTGAATTTTCATTTCTTGTCTTGCCACTCATCCAGCTCAACATTCTCATCTCAGCTACACTCATTTTTATGGATATGTCGTTTCTTGACTACCCAACATTCCATCCCACAAAGCATGGTTGGTCTTATAGTTGTCTTATAAAACTTCCCCTTTAATTCTATTATTATGCGATGATCATAGAAGTATTGGAGAGCGTCTATAACATACATAAAAATGTGCTTGCTTGTAAATTGAGAGAAGTGTGGGATCAAGTAATCTCTTACTATACCGCCCAACATTCGTTCTAGGCATAAAGACAGAGTACCTGAGATGGTTTGCAAGGTTGGTCTAGAGAAGGCTTATGATAGGGTCGATTGGGTACTTTTCAATGATATCATGAGATTAATGGGTTTTAGCACAATATGCAGGAATATGGATTTTATGTTGTTTGAATTTGGCACACTTTTCGGTTTTAATAAATAGGATGAAAAATAGAATTTCCCGAGCTCCAAGGGACTTTAGCGAGGAGATCCACTATCTCCCTTCCTATTCTCGATTGTTGACGAATCCTTCAGTCAAATGTTACATGGGCATATAATGGTGGTTGATTTCAGGCTTTAAAACTACACCTCGAAGGCCACTAACTTTTTATCTGCAGTATGGAGATGATACATTAATTTTGTGCAATGCAAGCGCTAAGGAATTGAAGAATTTGTGGTTGTTTTCTATATGTTTTAGAGAAGCACTGAGATAAAAGAGTTAACATGTCCATGTCCAAAACAAAATTAACGGAGATTGCTATTTTAGATGGGATTAAAAGTTCCTGCGAACTGTGTCAAATGTGTAACTGATCAGCTACCAAACAAATACTTTGGGGCCGCATTTGTGCTTGGGCAAACCCAAAAAAAAGCTGTCGGTGATTGTGTTGGGGAGATACCACATAAAACTAGTGGCATGGAAGTCTAGATATCTATCTTTCTGTGCAAGGATAATACCAAACATATCATCATTGGCTAATCTGCCGATACATTATGTCTCATTGTGTCCCCATATACTATTCCTACATCAGTTGTACAAGAACTCAAGAAGTTAATAAGGAGCCTTCTCTGGAGTGCATCCTTCGAAAGAAACAAGTTCCACCTAGTAATTCAGGATCAAATTTGCTAACCAAAAAACAAAGGGGGTCCGGGGATTCGAATAATTCACTTTCATCAGCAGACCAATCCCTTGAATCAGCGGACTGACCTGAACATCTTTCCTGGCTGGAAAGAACTATTAGGGCTCTTCTGGTTAAGTGGTGATGGTGCTGGAATGCAACAAGAACAACAATGGCAGAAAAACACGGGTACAATAATGTTAATTGGCTTGTCAAGGAGCAGAGAAGCAAAGGGAGATGTTTGGGAGTGTGGAATCTCATAAACAGCTGCAACTTTATCTTCACTAACACTAACAATATAAGACTGCTGATGGGTGATGGTTCAAAGATAAGATTTTTGGTTGGACCACTGGATTGAGGGTTGAACACTTCGTGGACCATACCCAGAGCTGCTGCCGTGGCACTCAATCCGAGTGGCCATAGTTGCTGAAGTTGTGGAAGGATGGGGATATCATGCTATTTGGACACCATGCTTCAGAGAAGCATTAAAGGACAAAGAGACAGAGGCTTTCACAGCTTTGCTCCAGAGATTGAAGCAGCTTTCGATTAACCTAAGTTCACTGATGTATCAATCTGGATCCAAACCCCAAAGGTGAGTTCTCTTGGAAGTCAGCATATCAAAAACGTGCTTTTAGTGAGAAGGCAGCTCTCTGAATCACATTATCTGGACTATAACTGGGCCTCCTAAAACCCAGGCTTTCTTATGGTTGATGATCTTAGAGAAGGTGCATACTGCTGATTACTAGAGAATAGAGGTACGTTGGTTATGAATGTTTGTATGACGTAAAAACAAGACCAGGAAATCGTCCTATGGCTACAAAAATGTGATATTTTGTCTTAAGGTTGTTTGATCTCACTAGGGTGGAACCTCACTCAATGGAGGAGCTGCTGGAGCAGTTTACTCCACTACTGCCGAAGAAAGCTATCATTCTTAGGAGACTATACCTAATGGTAGTGCAATGGCTATTGTACCAGAAAAGACATAGTAGATCTTTCAAAGACGAGAGCTAGGATGTTTATAGAATAAAGAGCAGCTTAAGACAACAGTAGTGACATGAGCATCCTTTAGGGAAATTTGGGATCTTCCGATGACAGATTTTGAAACACGGTGGAAGGAAACCTCAAGAACAAAAACACCAAAGGCAAGCAGGGCTGACAAGTGGCCTCCTCCACAAAAGGGTTAGGTGAAATTAAATTTCGTTGGCAACCCAAAAGGAATCCTGGGCCTGCAGGTTTTGAACATTCTGAGGGACCAAAATAGGAAAGTGTTCATGACGTATTTGGGTCCCCAACAAAGATGCAGCTCCAATGCTTGGTCTCTTATTATCGTGGTTCAGTGGAATTCGGTTGTCATTGAGAGGAACTCCTATAATTCTGTCAGCTTGGGCAGTAGTAAGGAGAAGTACCCTTGGAATCTCGACAATATTTTTGAAGACGTTTCACCAGTATAGGTGTCCATAGTCCATATATGGAATGAAGCTAACGAGAAGCCCAAATGGTCTTGCCAGAGAACGGTCTCAAAACCACATTTGTGACAACATTGTTTTGTTATATTAGGGGGTCTGATGTAAATAGACTCAATTTTGTTAAAGACTAACACCTGTAGGTCAGTTTGGTTAATGAAAATAAGTTTCCCATTTAACCCAAAAAAAAAAGAATGAAAGTAAACATCACCAAAGGAAACCCCAATATTTGAAAAAAAAAAAAAAAGCTTGTAAATATAGGAATTTTATCCAAATTTTTCAGATCTTTAAGTATTATTGCAAATTTGTTTCACAACAACGAGCTTGTTCATGAAAACTGACAATTTTTCATAAATAACAAATAAAACTGGGAAAAGTTTTTTAGAGAAACAGGGTGACCAGAGTGAGGTCAACTTTCAACTGCAATTGTATCATTTTTAACAATGGCTCCTTGTACAAACTTTAGATTCCACTAGTTGTTTCGATTTCAAGTAAGGGGAAATGCAAGAAATGCTTAAAGTGTGGTTCTCTATAAACTTTTGTACATCTCTAACCATCAATTATCAGCTACTTATCAAGAGGATACAAACTCCTAATCATTAGTTGGCTAATGAAGTTCATTGACACTTTTGGATATTCTTTCTTAAAATACCTTTTTTTCTGAAACAAACAAGTTGTATTTGAGGCTTCCTACCAAAGGAATACTAAAAGAACACATGGGATGGATCATGGGTCTCATGGAATACTAAAGAAGAACCGAGAGAAGAGAAGAAACACAAAGAAGATGAGGTATCACAAATACACTATACAGAGACCTTGTGAAAAAATTCAAAAATCTAGCTTTAGAAATTTGAGATGGATCCCTTATCAAGAATCATCCATAGAATACCTGGGGAAAAGCCCAACGTCCAATCCAATGGCATGAAAATCATAAAGGTCATTAGTAATTCAAATATAGAGAATATCACATTTGCAATGTAAATACGCAGGTTAAGTTTACAAACAGATCAGACTAAAGACTCAGCTTCAGAAATACGAGTAATTAAATCCATCAAGCAAAAATAACATGAAAAATGATGCATAAAAAATTTAATAAAATTAGATAAATAAAATCCAAGTAGAAAGACATCAGATCTAAAACATTAAAATGAGGCAGGCATCTAGTATTGCATCTTTTTCTTTTTCTTTTCTCTTTACAGATCATTAGGAGCAAAGGAAATCCAATATTTCAGTTTGAGTAATTTTCTCTGAAACATTGAGACGTGGGATGTATGGTAAAAATGAAGTGCAAGGAAAGGTGATAACTGAAGACATCAAGCTACCCATTAAATGTTACTTGAAAAGACCATAAGCCACGAAACAACATATACAAATAAAGGATGAACATAGAAAACAAGTAAAAACCATGTCCTTAGATGAACATTTAACAGTGCAATTGACATGTATAAGAACCTCAAAAGTTTGATAAGAATTTTTCAAACAAGCAAAACAAAAAATTCTTACCGCTGGAGCTGCTTCAAGTGCGCCATCAGCTCTAGAGAAAGTAACATGTTTCAATCCGTTCTCTTTAACAAATTTTGGACCCAGCTGCAAAGAAAAGCCGACAGGGAATGCTTAAACCCTTCTTCTATCAACCCATCCAGTAACACATCAGGTATTAAACAATGCAATTTTGCAACATACATAGCTAAATCCCGTTGCAATACGTAGGGGCTTCTCTTCTGTCCATTGAGGCATGCGTGCCAGCTCATCTATGGAATTAATATTCTCAAAAATGCCATATTTTGGTATCTGAGTACATATGAACTCTGATTAGTAGTGGACGAACCAAATATGATTTTAGCATAAAAGGTAGCACTAAGTTCAATGGCCAAGTATCCAAGTGATAAATACTTTACCGCAAGGGACAAACGGCATTCCCCATACTCGAGAGCATCATGGACCACAATCAAATCATCACTACCCTGCTTAAAAAAAATCATACTAGCACAAGTTAAATGAATACATTTTCTTATAAATGAACAACAAACAACATACACACACATACACACATGAAAGGCTATCGGGTTTCTCCTCCTCCAAAGACTATCGAGTATCTCCTCCATGGAAACAACACTTGGTGCACGTGGGTTGACAAGACTTACAGTAGTGTGGATATTTATAATACTAACTTTGTTGCACCTATTCAACTGTTGCACTCATACAACATGAAGAATGAATTTCTTCAAAGAGACTTTGCATGTGAGCAGCCTGCTATTAGATATATGGATGCTCATTGAACTAATATCTGTGGTATATATTTGTCAGTGTATAATCACAATTTCTAGAAGGAGAGATTACGTAGAGCAGTTATTTCAGATACATTCCCTAGTGTTCAATGCAGGTCATATTTCTGCATGCAGTCATTGATGCCGATTTTGTCGCATGGGACGACTCCATGCAAATACTTAATTCTGAAAACAGTTGTAGTCACATTACCAGATAAAATATATTAGACATACCGAATCCATTTTTGTAATCAAGGAAGTTTATTCAATCAAACAAATTTTTTTTTTTTGGGTAAGTCAATCAAAAAAATATATTGTGCCTTCACAGAAGTATTCTCAAGAATCAAGCATTAGCGCACAAACTCACCTATAAAAGATGGTGGACACTCCAATTAAGCTAAATGAGTGCCGATTAAAGAGGCAATATAACAAGAGCTAATGGAAATCATATTTTTTTGGAAAATGCAGATGTTACTAGTCTTATGTCGTCAGTGCCACCACACAAACGGCTTCAAATCTTGAGTTTCATGGGAAGAAGAAACATGTAGAAGTGCATTTCCGAGCAACTAGAGGAAATATCACACGTGATGTTTACAATTTTCAAATATAGTTCTACCACATCATCTTCCAAGTAAAAGTCAAATCTAGTTAGAAAGTTATCTCTGGCAAACCTCATAATGCCACTTCAAGGGAAACAATGAGGATATGGTCCAGTAAGGTTATCTCAGTCTTAATTCAACTTATTTATAGTACATTTTTCATCGACAGGAATCTTGGTACTTTGAACTATTGCAATTTAGTAGATATATGAGAGTTTTTTAATAAGATTATCAAGGGAAAACATCATACAATTCTTCATTGTTGCCTGAATAAAATTAAAGAGGTTATACATTGTATTGCAAAGATCGGTACAAATTGGATGTTCAGTGTGAAGAGTTAGATCTCACCATCAAGCACAACAAGGTCTACTGAGTACAAAATAAAATCATCAAGGAGAACAAGGATACCTTGGCTGATGCAAGAGATTGGTTGCATTCAAATATTAATCAAACACAAGTTTGCAAAATATTAAATCAGGCTACAAATAAGAAGATAAAGAACAAACAAAAGGATCAATATTAGATAAATCACATAGGTAGTACCATAAATCATCTCATCATACAAATTCTTCTACATAACAGAGGATGTTCTCGTCATATCACAGGAAAAAGGCCGCACCTGTCCATATTCACTGACAGTGTCATATCCCACAATACCAAGGTCCAGGTCTCCTGACACTAGTTTACGAACAATATCATTTTCTCGCTGGAACCAGACTTCTAGGTTGGAGAGCTGCATAATACAATTAAGCCATTAAATTACAATAAATGCACAAAAAATTTAAAGTCAAACTGTTTTTAAGAAGATTTTTGTATGGGATCACAAAAGCTGCATACAGCAAACATGTACATATTATCTCCAAATCAGTGTTTAAAAGTCGGTTAGGGCCAGGGTGGAACTCAGCCCTGGCCGTAGCCGAGTTACTCAGGCGAGTCTGAGTGGCCTGCCTGAGAACACAAGTTGAAAAAATTAAAAAATAAAATAAAATAAAATAAAACAAAGAACAGAAGAGAAGGGGGGCGGGTATTTGGCCATGTGCCCAGCACGCTGCCTCCATTTCACCACATCTTCCTAAAGTCCCTTCGGCTCCTATCTCTTACTTTCTCTCTCTCCTGCCCCTCTCTCTCTCCAGAGAATACCATTCCATGTGGTTTGTCTCTGAGAAATACCTTTCACTGTGGTCTCTCTTGAAAGAATCCCTTCTTCCGTATGGCAATGTCCTTCTCTCTGTATCGGTCATGGTTTTAGGGTTTTCTGGTTTTCACTGTCCCAATGGAAATCTGAGAAATAAAAAGCTCAGGGTTTTGAATCATATATCTCATTGCAAGCATAGAACCTCTCCACGGGCCTCTCTCTCTCTCTCTCATTGAAAGCATAGAAGCTCTCTACAGTGGCACAGCCACTCTACCTCTCTCTGATATCCAAGGTGGCACAGCTCCTCTCTCTAAGATCTTCCTCTCTCTTTCTCTTATTGCAGGAATCTTTAGAAGCAAATTGATAGAGGGTTTTGGTATGAGACCCTAAAGTACAAAATGAATCAAGAAAAAGTCCAAAAGACTGAGATTCGAGCAAGAATGACAAGAAATGCTGGACTGGTTTTTTGGCTATGTAAAACTCAAAAAAACTAGGGTTTGATGGATCTTGAATGTTTTTGTGGTCCTAATGGGGTTTTATAGACCCCAGTCAATTTCTGCTATCAATTCTTTTCGTGAAAAGCATAAATATTTCTCATAAATTTCCAGAAAAGTTTGGATTGTTTACCTCCTTGGTAGATTCTCCAATAATGGAGCTTACGTGCAAGACTCGGACATGCCTTGCACATTAAGACAAAATTTGGCCGAGTCCAAGGTATCTCGGCAGAGTCTTGAACTGCTCTGGCAAGTCCATGGGGTACTCCCCCAAGTGGTGTACACCTTACCTCATAGAAGTAGGATGTATACCCTACTCAGCCCTACTCATCCTTGCCCATTGGGTGAGTCCAAGTAACTCACCCAAGTCCAATTCAATTCGGGCGAGTCTCATAACATTGCTCCAAATTTTGCAAAAGTATATCACCAACTTCATTGGGAGTACAATCTATAACAAAACAGCCACAGGATGACTTAATTTGCGACAATCATTTAAGATATTAGAAACGAAAGGAATAAAGAAAATTTGCAATAAAAATTAAAGATTGAGCACAAAACCCAAAGTAAAATAACTATAGAATAAACACATTTATCAGCAAAAGAAAAACTTAGATCAATTACAATAGTCCCTCGTATAACTGCAGTATTACATACGTTTGGTAGATAAACATTATCTTAAAAAAGAAAATGGTTTCTGAAGATACATGATACCAATATTGCCAGTAATATCTGCACTACGTCCAAATAAAAAGAGAAGGAATCTGGAACCTCATTCCGATGCAGTGTTAGTAAACAGGGACTCGTTAGGGTTCCCATCCCAATTGAGGTCTGATGGATTCGGCCAAGTCTGTCAAGGAGTCACACAAATCCAGCCGATGAAATAATAGGAACCGACCAGACTCGGCGGGTTCCAATGTGAATGGCTCCAAGATCAGCAGGATGTCAAGCCCGAGTGACTCGGGCTCCAACACTGGCACCAAGGAACGGGGTTCCATTCTCAGCTGCCTCAAAGCTGTCCAATTACTATGGCTTGTTCATTCAACAATTGGATCGTTAACATCCCTAGTCTCCATGTTGACCACTCTCGGAGTGTTTAGTATCGAATCACCAGCCATGTGGCCGAGACCACAGCATTACAACGACTCTCTTGTACTGACAATGTCAAAACCTACTAAGGGCCGTCCTACCATGAAAAATCAAGGTATAAAACCCAGGACCTTTACAGTTTACTAAAGGTCCTAATCTCAAGTATGAGATAAACGATGCCAAAATGATTCAAATAATGAAAAGTAAGAGAAAGTATGTGTGTGTGTGTGTGTGTGCGAGAGAGAGAGAGACAGAGCTCACTTGAGGAATATCAGCAACATACTGTCGAGGATTCACCTGTCTAACAGAGAGTTGGCAATCCTGCTCCACAAAACAAACCAACAATTTCAATCAATTAATTTCATTAAGCTGTCAGATAAGAAAACCAAGTGTTCCCCCTCCAGTTAATGACGCCTAAACCTAGTTAACAATTTATCGGCCATTACACCGGTGAAGTAGTATCTTTGAATCATCCTGACAACAAGAATACATACAATAAATAGCATTTCTGTGTTGGGTTTATGTGGCCATTAAAGGCCTGAAGTAGTATCTTTGAATCATTCTGGGTTTATGTGGCCATTAAAGGCCTTATGAGAGCTTGTATAAGTCCAACTTTCATTCTGACATTTTTCTTAGGGAAAAGTTTATATAGAGCCGAGGCTCTAAGCAATCAAATTGGAGCCTACGACAAAAATTTCACTAGAAGAGGTTGTTTTGATGCCCAAATATCTTCAAATTGATCATCTTGACATCAAGAAGAATGGACATGAGAAAAAAATGAATTTCAAGTTTTGGAAATAGTGTATTTTGTAACGCATTTCTGGACCTTCCATTTTCAAGATTTTCAAGTTTTCATAGATTTGTCGATTTACACTATTTTTTAAGCTTTAAACTGTATAAATAAAGATGAAATACATTTTAAGGCTATCACAAGATTTCCAACATTGAAACCACATTTCTTGACACCATTTGAAGATAGGCTCTAATTTTGATTGTTTATAGCCTAGGCTCTGTACAAACTGCACCCTTTTTCTTACCATGCAAGTAATGCTTCATCTGTTCATCATGAATTTAGACAACCGTACAATATATTTTTTTTTAAAACCAATAATTTTTCAATCCAAAAGATACAATTTGAAAATTTTAACTGCCTTCTCAATCATTCAAAGAAAAGAAAACAATACTTCTTCAAAAACTTCACTTTTCAATAACTTCACTTGTCAATTATAAACTTGCTGATAATAAACCCAATCAATATACAATAAGGACGAGATTTCCAAGATATTTTGAGGAACACATATAATTGTTACTGTGACCAGAACTGAAAACTACAAAAAATCACCCCAATTCATTGCAATTCACAATTCCCAAGTAGTCCCAGTCGCAATTCACAATCATTTCCCAAGTAGACCCAGGAAACCACATTCTTCAAAAAAAAAATTGCGAACAGCGAAAGACTGAACTCAAATTCAAATCAAAATGACAGGATAAGAAAATGCAATGAGAACCTTAAGGAGATCAAGAGTTCCAGAGGCCATGCGACCTTTGCTAGGCAAGCCAAGCCAGATCCAGTCCCTTTGTTTTAAGCTTTTCTCATTAACTGCATCGGTTGAAATAAGAGTAGACGCACAGGCAAAAACTCCAGAACACAAAATGCTTGGAAACGGCGATAGAGAAGGCCCCGAAAAAGCACGCCTCTGCAACTGTACAAGAGAAGAGGGTGCGAGCTTTTGAAATGGCGAATTTGAAGATTGCTTGAAAATTGGGGCCGATGGTAAAGTCAGTTGCTGAAAGGAGACGGCCATGGCGTCTCGGAAGAGAGAGAAAGAGAGATTGTAGAGAGAGTGTGTAACGGGCAGTAATGTGAGCAGCGCAGAGGGAGAATATCCAGGGCATCTCCCAGATCGGGTTGGTAGTACTAATATGAATACTGAGTATTAATTGGGACTCCTCGTGAACAACACGTGCGTGCCTAAAATAAGGCCATTAGGCCACGTTTGAGTAGGAGGAAAACTCACATGCCTATATTTTCCAATCTTTTCTCACATTTGAGAATCAACATCTACCTTGGATGTTTATTGCTATTTTTTACCATTGTTGTCATTTCCCATGTTATGTTAGGGTGCTCACCAGAGTATTTTGTAATTGTACGGAATAATTTTTTAATATGTATTTTTGATCTTTAGGAGTGGTATAAAACTATTCTCATGGGATATGACATTGTCCACATAAAACATTAAATATCGTTAGTATGCTCATTAGCAAAAATACTCTTCCTAAAAAATGATCTATGTATAAAATAAAAATATATAAGTGCCTAAAATTTATTGAATACAATTATGAAATAATCTATAATGTGAGGACCTAACATAACCTTTCTCTAGTTAGTCTTTGTTGGAGTTTTTATAAAGGTGAGTTTCACATAAAGTGCTTACTTTATACTATATAAATAAGAAATTGGACGCATTGCGCCCTTGAGGGGTAAACCTTCCATCTCAAAGACGGATGCAAATGGGTGTTTTATTTAAAAATAATTGAAACTAACCATCTAAATGGTTTCTTCTTAAAATTATTATTTTTAATTTTTTAAATTTATTTATTAATTCCTACTTAGGATCTCATGTTAGAGATCATATGAATTCGGCACAAATCTTCTATAGAGTCGATCGTGAATGTCGTTACATCAGTCATGATCTTTTGCGATTCAATCCAAATCAGATCCCTTCAACAACTCCTGCAGCATGTTTCTAATATGATGGGGCAATTTCAGTTAAGGAGCATCATAGACAAGCACTGGAGTTAAGGAGCCAACAGGAGTAAGAACTTGCATTCTTGTAGGCAGATCCTTTTGACATTGAAGCACTTGTGGATAGTGGAGCACAATAAACAATAATATCAAAAAAGTTGTGACAAAATGTTGTGGGCTATCGAGAATTTAAATCAATGCCATAAGGCCATTACTCACATAATTGGTTACAAGATATATGGAATGTTTCTCCAATGGGAGAACCGATCACCATGATAGGTTTGTGACATTACACCGACCCTAGGTCTGTGACATCAACAAAGAAAGAGAACGAGAGTAGTTTAGGCCCTGGCGGTAGTATTGCCAAGCCTTATGGAGAGGTATTTGACTTCGTTCTCATCCAAGGATATGGGCTCAAATCCATATAATTTACCACTTAAGGAAAAAGGATTGGGGTCATGGTGGTAGGATCTCCACACTCAGTTACCACATCATGGTATCCATTCTTACCGTTGACACCCCCAATTTAGCACTTTTAAAATGTAACTCCCCAATCTATTGAAAAAAGCGGGTACGGGTCTGTCTTCTCTACTGAATTACCCAAAAAAAAACAAAGAAAGAGAATGTAATGGAAGAGAAGTCTTCAAGTGAGAGAGACACATCAACCATTGACAGTTGGTCTTCTGCGGAGAGTCGAAAACACAACTCAATGGCAAAGCTCCGATAAGATATTCACAATTCTATAGTAGGCAAATCAACATATCAACAAACTTCAATAATGGACAAAAACTTCACATCTTTGCTAGAAAAACGAAAAACAAAAAACAATCAGCTAAAAGAACATAATAGGCCACTCGCAGATAAAAACATACATGATGATAAAGAGCACTCTCTGCATCCATTGACATATGACAAATTTGTCTATATAGACAAATAACTTATGATAATAATAAAAATAAATCATAGACACCAAACCGATATCCACACTTACCATAAAATACAAGATACTGCACCTACATTTCCTTCTAATCTAACTTGTAGACAATATAAACTTTTTTAACCCGAAATACGAAATGACTCATAAATGATTTTAGAATTAGTCTAAACCAATGGTTTAAAAAACGGATCGGTGACCCGGATCGGGCACCCAAAAAACCTATCCGGATCGGCGAATCGGCGATTCGGATCGGAAATCGGGTAAATCGGTCAGAATAAAGCTTAAAAAAAATTCGAAAAAATTATTAAAATTTATTATAAATATTGGTTTTTACGAATTCAATAAGAAATGAAGGTACTCCATTAAGAATTTTCATGTTTTTGAATGAATATGCGAATATTGATATGTTCTTTCCCTACATGAACCGCCCATTCAGCATTTAATTTACATCACACAAAAAAGATAAACATAGAATTCTCAT